TATATAGGTTCACCTACTTCAAATGCAGAACAACTTTTGGAGTCTTTAAGACTGGTTAATTCGTTTTCCACAGGACCTTATTTCTATCATCTTGTTGCAAAAAAAAAATGAATTTTTTTTTATCCGCTATCATCGTTCTTTCCAAAATTCATCCTTTTCCGTTTCGGACAGAGAATCGTAGATGAAGATTCGGTTCATTAAATTTGGTTTTGCGTTATAGCGTGTGACAATCAAGCACCATAGCAATTCATATATGCAATGTTTGCAAATGCCTTCAAATCTCATAAGAGATACAGTGGAGGGTGGGGGGTAAACAAATATTCGAACACATACAAATTTTTAATTTATTGTATTTCCAAATAATGAATAAACATACTTTTCATATAATTAATTCTACATAGATGCATAATGACTAAATATGCATAGAAAACATAAAAATAGATTTTTCACCCATTAAAATGAGTAAAAAGTATTTATTTTCATTAAATCAAAATTTTATCTGTTTTCTATGCATATTTAGTCATTATGCATCTGTGTACATTTAAGTATATGAAAAGTATGTTTATTCATTATTTGGAAATACAATAAATTAAAAATTTGTATGTGTTCGAATATTTGTTCCCCCCACCGAACTGTATCTCTTATGACCTTTGAAGGCATTTGAAAACATTGCATATATGAATTGTTACTGTGCTTGAGTGTCACACGCTTTAACGCAAAACCAAATTTAATGGACCAAATTTTCATCTACGATTCTTTGTCTTTCTTTGCTTTCCCTTGTCTCTCTTTACCTCTATTCGACCTGTGAGTATCAGATTCTCCAGGCCTTCCTTTCTCATTACGTGTCCCAGATATTCCAGCTGTCTCTTCCTGATGTTAAGTATAATCTTCTTTCTTGTTTACATCCTTTGCGAAACCTCATCGTTGCTCAGACGCTCGACTAATGACATCCTCAGCATCCTTCTGTATAACCACATCTCCTCTGCCTCGAGTCTCTTCTTCATCTTTCAGGAGACCGTCCAACATTCGCTGCCGTAAAGGAGGACAGACGTTACGTAACAGATCAGTACTCTTTTCTTTGTTATAAGCTTCTACCTTGTTTGCATCCTCTTCAAAACCTCATCGTTGCTCACACGCTTGATCCATGATATGCTTAGCATCCTTCTGTAGAAACATATGTAAACCGCCTCAAGTCTCTTCTTCATTTTTGATGAGACTGTCTAACATCAATGAAATGAAAAACAAATGGATTCATTAGAAAAAAAAACAACGGTTGGAAATTAGATACATCAGTAGAAAACTGATAAAAGGTATAAATAATTAGGTAATGCCTGTAGTAACCTTTCTACACTTGACAAGAAGCGAACGTGTATATTTGAAAAAAAATGGTGTCGATTGAGAAATTAAAATAAGAAAATACGTCAGTCAAAAAATAAAATCAGGACCAAACGGAGCACGTAGAATATGTAACCCTGAATACCTAGGTGAAGAAGGGAAATACACTGAAAAAACATTTAAACTTCTTCAATACCGACATTGTTTCATTCCCAACGCAAGAAAACGACAATGCAAAGACCACAAATCCCAAGGATTGGAAAACGCCGATAGCATTAAATTCATAATCCTGTCCCCTGACACTTTAACTACAAAACTTGAAAATAAATTAGTTACTCCCAACAGTAGAATCTTTACCTTCACTAAATCGGAGAAAAATAGATGCTGCAACACTTCAGATGCTGATATTTATCAAATAAAGTGTTTGCAATTTAAAAGCATTACAACTGTGATATATATATATATATATATATATATATATATATATATATATATATATATATATATAAGATATCACTCTATTAATTGAACTATGTTCATGTCACATTAACTGAAAACACAACAAAAGAATTCGTGGATTTACCAAATTACAAAATTCAAATAAAAAGATCTCACTTGAAATATTTAAACTTTAGCGTTGAGACTTGCACGTTCCAATATTATATAACTGTTAATAAATAACAAATTCTTGAAAAAAAAAACATCTTTCGGTCTACAACACATTTATTTCGTCTTCTTTTAAACGAAATTACAGCCAGATGATGAGGACATGAAGTTCTTGAAAATACTTTTCTGCTCTAAAAAAATGCACCAGATCCATCTGACAACAATTTTATACATAAGGATCGCATCATTCAGTGGATTGTTAGTAGTTTAATTCTTATATTAAGTCTGTTAGCGAAGAGATTTCGCCATTATTTGCATTATATCTTCAATATATTATAAAGAGATAATCATACATTGAATCAATTAGTAATATTAATGCAAATAATGCGAAATCTCTCTCTTTCTCGCTCTCTTTCTCTCTCTCTCTCTTCTCTCTCTCTCTCTCTCTCTCTATATATATATATATATATATAATCATTTATTCGAAAATTATAAGATAAATATTATAAAATCACTACGAAAATAGCCATTTTGTTTCAACACTTCTGGTGTCTTATCAAGTGATGGGGTTGAATGTATAATAAGTGGTATTAAAATGTTCAAATCCATCAAACACCCCTCGCTAGGGGAAACGCTGTTACATAACCGGGAATGACCAATCAAAATACAAGTATATGAGATTTCAAAAAACTTGACAACGAACTTTTGTTATAATAATTATAAAATGCTTTAATGTTAGGGTTAGACTAAAATAAAATTCATTCTAACTAATGAATATTAAATCATACTATAAAATTAAAAATTAGCAATTTTAAATTTAATGTATATTAAGTTTAAAATTATAAAACTATTTAAAGAAGAAACTGAGTAAATATGTTTTTTTTACTGATTTTGTTTTTATTGAAATTAAGTTGGAATAAACGTTAAGAACTAATTATGTTATATTTTTTGAATAAATGATTATATTTGCTCTACTCTGTATTGAGCACTCTTATAAGAATAATATTTCTTGGTTATTAGAATTTAATCCGTATACACCAATGATATACTTGGGTATATATATATATATATATATATATATATATATATATATATATATATATATATATGATGTGCATCCATGCGTTTGAGAATACATGGATGTGTGTGTGGAGGTGTATTATGGATGTGTATCTGCACCTAACCTCGGATTGTTTATATGGGTGTGTTTGTGGGAACTAAAATGCATACGCTTGTATGTATGCGTGTGTATGTATGTCAGAGTGTTCATTGAAAATCCAGACGACTCACTGGATAACGGAAGTAAACGTTTGTTAGCAGACACTACACCCCACCTAAAGTTAACCTGACTTTTTAAGCAACATATATTGGATACATAAGCTGTTTAGGGAAATTAAATCCCAGCCCCTAAATTAAAATAGATGTTCCTTAATCTTAACAACTCATAATATTAATATTGTCTGCTCTTGTAAATTAAGTCAATTTCTTTGAAAGTCTATTCCTAACATCGCTTGACAATGGAACGAGAGTGTGCATTTCAAATTTAATTTTATAATTAAATTTATAAATTTAGTTTCAGTTTTGAAACATGGAAATTTTCTGTGTCACGGTGGAATCATATTTTTAAAAAGAAAATACTTATAATATTTTGCTCTACTTTTTGTATCGAGCACTGTTTTTTTTTTTAAATAAAAATAACTGCTAAGAACACCGGATAATAAACCTTACTGATCTTTCTTATTATTTTAATATATATATATATATATATATATATATATATATATATATATAAAACAATAACTCGTTTCTAATAGCATTTTTCGGATTACAATACATATATTTTTGTTGTCCTCTTATTACTGAGAGTAAAAAACAAGAACAAAATCTATCCCATACCTGAGGATGTCTATAGGAACAGACGAAAACTTGTAAAAATAATAAGAACTTATGCAACAGAAATTTATAAAAACAAGGACCTTTTCATTCATAAACAGGTTCGGGGTTTTTGTATATTATTTGAATTGTTTGCGACGATGGATTTCACGCCAATTAAATCATTAACCTTTGTATTTGTTTTTTGCATGAATAATTCATGAATATATATATATATATATATATATATATATATATATATATATATAATCATGAATTTAGGTAATGTAATATCTTTGTATATTGTGGCTTTTTTTTTAATGAATGCCATTATTATTTTGTTGCATTACACCTACAATTTACAACATATGATAATGCAGCAAATTTATTATAATTTTCATTTCAATGAATAATTATATCTTCAGTTCAACTTTTGATTTAATGTCTATTGTCACGGTGATTGCCTGTTACGTTATTTTATAATATACAAATTAAAATGATATTTATCATGATGTGAATAAAAGTACAGTATTAATTATAGCAATGACATACTTTAGACAAGATCCTGGGATATTTACATTTATTTATTCTCCGGATGTACAGAAGTTACCAAGCAGGAAAAATACGTTTAAAAAATGTCAAATTTCTATAGTTAAGCTGTATTAAGTAATGTAGCTTGACGGTGAGGGGAGGCCGGACGAGAGAGTCGGGTTGAATAGAAAAAGGAGTCAAAAATAAACCAATCAACTCGTGGAAATTTCCATCTGTAAATAAAAAATAATCACACAAAATTTAACAAAAAAAAGAAGAAAACAGTAAAAAATCACACAAAACCAAAAAGAGAAAAAAATTAAAGAACTTTCCTGAATTAGAAAAAAAAATAAAGAGAAAAATGAAAACAAAGTGAATAAACAAAAGAAAGAAGAGGAAATAAACAAATTGTTGAAAACAAATATTGATGAAGCAGACGACAAGGAAGATGGCGCCGTGGTCGGGAATAACGTCACACAAGATGGCCGCCCTGAGAGGTGTAGGGCTTTAGAAAAGCAAAGAGTTGGTGAGGCGTAGGGTAAAAGATTGGGACCGATGTGGCGTGGAGAGCTGAGGATACATATCACTGATTGACAGTTAAGCTGCAACTGGTAGAGCGGGGAAATGTGGGGTGAAAACACGCCGCCATTTAAAACCAGGGCCCCAACATCTGCAGAGAATTATAAGTGCATGGAAAAAATAGTGAGTAGGCAGAGAGGAATATGTCGTGACAAAAAAAAAGATATAGAAAGAAAACGAAAGAGCAGGGAAAGAGAATGGAGTGGAAAGATAAAGTGGTTATATGGACTTGAAAAAAGAAGAGAAAGATGACTTCAAATAAATTATGAGAGAAAGTGAGAAGCGGAATAAGAACGAAGAAAAGAAAGTATACAAGCAAAATGATTGAGAAAATAAGAATCGAACAAATAGAAATGTATAAAAAGAAGGGAGTGAAGTAGTGTAGATAACCGTTGGAAAGATTCAAAATTACTTCTACACAAAATAACAAGACGTAGATAGACAAAGAATGCTGAATAGGAAATGGAAAAGCTAAAGGGAAAATGGACGAACAAGCAAATATAAGAAAAAAGGTGCAAACTTAGAATAAGAATAAATAAATATAGATAAGAAATAAAAGTTTAAAAAAAATGAAGGAAAAGAAAATGGCGGACAGTTTATACGGAAACAAAAAGAAAGTGGCTGAAAAGAAAGATGGCTGCATAGAAAATTACGAGGCAGAAAATTAAACAAAAATAACCAGAAGATGCGGAAAGGAAATGAAAATAATGTTGGAGAAGGAAAAATTGAAACGATTTTAGAAAAAATAAAGGTTGAACATAACTAAAATAGGAGAGACATTTATTAGATCGGGATAAAGTCATAAAAATAAGAGGTTGAAAAGGAATCTTATGTAGAAAAGATTAAAATAGATTACAAAATAACAGGATAAAAATGAGAGGCGCGAAATGAACTATTAAAACATAAGGAAGGAAAAAAGGAGAAATATAATAAAATATACTGATAAGAAAGAAAGAAAGAAAGAAAGAAAGAAAGAAAAAGTAATAAAAATAAAAAAAAGGGGAATGTAACATACAAGGAAGAAAGAAAGCAGATAACGGGAAAAGAAAACAGAATAGAAAATAAACGAGAGTTAACCGCGAGAAAAAGCATTAAAAGTGGGAGTGTCGAATATCAAAGTTGGAAATGAAAAAGAACAAGAGGGAAAGGTAGAGAAAATGTTGTAACCTAGAAAGAGTTACTGAATGAGAAATAAACAAAACGTAGGTTGGAAATGAAATGATAATCTTTATAACATCAACAAAATGCAATACTCGCCAGCGGCGTGAAGTAGGTAAACCACTGCTAGTGGTGCACTACTTAGACAGCATATTAATCCTACTTACAATAGTGTCCAACGTATTTCTGAGGAATGGGATATACTCATTGCTGTTTCTTAGGTAGGTTATTTAACAGAAAAGTAAATAAAGAAAGTAAATACGATAGAAAACAAAGAAATGAAAAGAAACAAAAAAGAACTAAAGAAAGAAAAGAAACAAACAAAAGAAACAAACAAAAGAAAGTACAATAGAAAAGAAAGAAAGAAAGAAAGAAAAAAAAGAAAGAAAGAAAGTAGAAAAAGAAAAATACAAACAAAAGGAAGAAACGAAAGAAAAACAGTACCATAGAAAAGAAAGAAACAAAAGAAAAGAAAGAAACAAAAGAAAGAACTAAAGAAAGAAAAGAAACAAACAGACAAACAAAAGAAACAAACAAAAAAAAGAAAGAACTAAAGAAAGAAAGAAAGAAACAAAAAACAAAAGAAAGAAAGAAAGAAAAGAAATAAATAAAAAGAAAATGCAAAGCATGGCGTTAAGAAATAGTTAATAGGAGAAATTAAAAAGAAAGAAAAGAATTAAACGGACTATGAAACAATTTAATAAATAAAGCAAAGAGGAAGAAAAAAGAAAAATAAGAAAACAGACAAAAACCCAACCGCGTCAAAATAACACATAAGAAATTAAATAAAAGAAATATTGGGAAAAATCATTAAAAGAAAGAAGCGTCAACATCTTCTTCTTCTTCTTCTTCTTCTTCTTCTTCTTCTTCTTTGTGCCTTGCCTTTTTCAGCATGTTGACGATCATGGCTTCCAGACTTTTGTCGCTCTTAGTAAATTTTATCTTTTTGTTATCTCTGTTAAACCTTGTCCACCATCCATTTACAAAAGCTCGGTAGCTAGGTTATGCGCTATTTTCCACTTTCCTTCTTGCTTTCGATATTTGTTATGTGTGTTAAATTTTCCAAGCCCTTCTTCCTCATTTTGTGGGCTAGAAATTTCAATAGTCTTATTCTGATATTAAGTATATGTGTTCTTTTTGTTTCCATTTTTTTCCAAAACTTTGTCATTGCTCACATGTGCAGTCTATGGTATTCTAAATATCTTCTTGTAGAAGCACATTGAAACGTCATTTCTTACCTGAGCGAAACAAAGATAAAAATAAGAAGACGGTGAATAGTTAAATCAAAAAAAGTAAAATGAACAAAGCTAGTATCAACGAATATATATATATATATATATATATATATATATATATATAATTTATATTTTAATTTATTTGGTTAAACATTATTTTTAATGGACATTCAAATTTGCGTGGATGATCTGTTTTTATTATTAAAAAGTATATTTTTTTATCAGCTTGACTATTAGAGAAATTTTGTTAAAAAATATGAATCCTCCTGTAGGATTAGAACCTACGTCTCCTAGAAGAAACCGTCATTAGATCTTGACTTTTCGACTCGACTTTGTTTGATCAGGAGGTTCACAATAATTAAAAATATGTCGGATAATAATCCATTTCCATATATATATATATATATATATATATATATATATATATATTCAAACACATGTAGCCACTAAGTAAAACGTCTTTCGTAATAATAATATATATATATATATATATATATATATATATATATATATATATATATATATTATTTTAATACCTATACTCGGGCTGTGTGAAAAAAAACAGATAATACAATATGTAAATAAAAAATAGTAAACAAAAAGGATATCAGCGAAAAGAATTCAGTAAAAAAAGAAAAGACTAAAAACATTCGTGCCACTTGAAAATAATCAATCAGCACCGCAATGCGTAGCCAAAAGAAAAACACAGAGTAACTTAAAACGTAAAAGTGCTCAATACAGTAAGTAGAGAAAAAACTAAAAAAATCTAACGAGCCAGAACCTACCTACCTAAGTTTCACCTAACGGATCATCAGGATAACTCTGGCTAAAGAGGGGTGGCACAAACGAAATTTCATTGTAAAAACGGCCACCAGAAATAATAAAAAAAATAGTATGAAAACAAAACAAAGAAAAATTGAAAAAACCGACACCCGAAAAAAAAAAAAAAAAACAAAACCCAAAAACAACTATCCCTTTATTCAAGTAAGCAGGATTTTTTAAGTCTACTAATAGTAGGTTCTGGATCATTAGGTTTTACACACGCACACACAGACACAGTTTTTATGTTTTCATTGTATGCGACACTTCAATCCCACATATTGTGCAACAGTGGGGATCTTAGGACATAGCAAGAGGAATATTTGATGACGTTTGTCGCTGTTTGTCTTTTATTCTTAGTCGGTCAATATGACAGATTTCAAAATTTCTGATACCACTCTGGCACAAATATATCCAGTTATTTCTATCCAGGGCAACATTCTTGAAGTTAGTATGAAGCAAAAAGTGACAGTTCATATATATATATATATATATATATATATATATATATATATATATATATATATAACTACCGGCTGATCCTTTCTGGCCACAACCGTTTGATAGCCAAACCCTCTTTTCGACGCCTGTTCATTCAAATCTGTGTTTGTTCAACGTCCACCATATAAACCTGTGGTTTATACTTCATCTATGTATTGACGTTGAATGATTTGCAAGCATTTTCCAAAGGTTCTGCACACAATGATCGCCTCTCCAAGCCGATAATATCAAGGAAACACTTTCCTGAAAAATCGACCAGGGTGAGATTTGAACCACAGTCTAATGGGTGGAAAGTATAGGTTAGGTATTTGAGAGTAAATTTTAATTTGAGGTGAGTATATTACTTAGCAGCGAAAACAATATATTTTCAAGGAATATGTTCTTAAAATACTTTGATTAATATTGATTACCGCATTGATCCGGCTTCTAAAATGTTTAAATGAGTTGATCAGGTCTCTTTTAATCTTGTTGTGCATAGCATCTTCAATAGCAGCCTTAGGTGACTTCTGGGCATGATTGCTGATCTCTCATTGGGTTTCAATCAAGAAAGCTAAGCGGTCAACTCGTTGGTGTAAATGGCTTATTCAACAACTAACCAAAAGATCTAAGTTTCATTTCTATACAATAAAACTTTTTTAAGCGAAAAATTGAATAAAGAGGTTGCATTGTCAAGACAATTTTGACAAAAGGGGGTCTCCAGAGGACACAGACACCACACTGAATGATTCCTATCCAAAATATAGAAGGAGAAATCCAGAAGATAGAGGTCACGTCGCCAAAATAATTTTGACCAAAGGAGGTCACCGGGGACACCCCCCACACTGTTTTGTTTTCCTTTTGACTTAAATTAAATTTAAATTTGAACAAGGGAATGACTCCAATCCAAAAATATAGAAGGAGAAAGCCAGAAGATAAAGGTCACATCGGCAAGATAATTTTGACCAAAGCAGGTCACCGGAGGACACAAATCCTCCACTGATTTTTTTTTCTCCTAAGGTACTTGGATAAATATGCATTTTGTTCCTCTCCGTTTGGTACAACTTTGAAACACTGATTGAAAACTTTTCTTTCAATCCACGCCTGACGACTGCTACAAAAATACAATTTGTTTGTAACCGTTTGGAATAACTTTGAGTTTCATCTATGTAGCTGTCCCAGACCGAGAAGAAATACCATACTTATGGTAACTATTTAGAATGTAATAATTAAAAGAGAAGTTAACGTGCATAATGCCACTGAAACCTAAACTTATTTCAGCGTCAAATCCTCACTAAACGTGACAAATTCATGACAAACCAGGATGCACTAATTTTAAATCAGATAAATGTAAATTTGGCTATAGAAATAAGTCTAAGTCTGATTTACGTTAAAAGCATACGACAGAGTTTACCGTAGAGTCATTTTATCGGTATTATAGTCTTGACAAGTTAATCAAAATCACTAAGTTTACGGTGTAAAATTTACCGAATGTCATGTTCTTACTAAATTACGTTTGATTTATAGTTTGGTTAAAATTTTAAACAAAAATGGAAGGACGGCTTTATTTAAGCACTACTTACTGTAGCAGGAATTTCAAATTCTTGCCACTACCGCAGTAGACCAACTGCAATAATAGATTCTATCAAAATATTGTTAATTTAATTTTAAAACACTGGACTTGTTTTAATTTCAAGGGCTCAGTATCGGACGCAACGGGAGTGTTTTTGCTCCCCGCCAAATTATAACTCGCGTCACGGGCCTTCGATTTATAGATCGCAGGGTGTTTTTTGGAGATATTTTATAGGAAAAAATCGTCTTGTGAGTAACAAATATGGTCTACAGGGAATGCAAAAGTATTTTATTTATACAGTAATGAAAAGAAAACTATATGTCCTTTAGACATCCTCAGAAAACGAAGTCCATAAAGGTTTGATCTGGTGAACTTACTGTATACCTGCTTTTGCAGCCCCTTCTATATATGAGAGTGTGTGTGTGTTTATGTCTGTATTTGTATGAGTGTTTATGTTTGTATTTTTATGTGTACTTATGTCTCTGTGTGTGTGTTCGTGTGTGTGAGCGTGTACAGGCGCGTGTATGTGTGTGTGTTTGTGTGTGCATAACACATTTCTGCGTCACAGATTTTCATTATTCTTTTGGTGATGCAGAAGTCATAATTAGTCAACGCGGAATCAAATGCTGTTTGTTTAGTTTAATATTCAGAAACAATTGAACGTAAACAAGAAAATGCAAGAAAAATTGTTTTTATTTTATAATTACAATGCAATTGCATCGCTGTTTTTTTTTTGGGGGGGGTTTGTTGTTTTTTTTTTTATCATTCCCCCTCCTCGTTTTACGGTGTGGCTCAGCTGGTTCAAATATAATAAAAGAGATTACGAGATT